CCCAAAGTGATATTAGGCGTGTCAAAGGATATGTTTTCTTTAGAAGATTTTCAGTCTCTGGTAGCCTTTGTTGTGTTTTGTTTTTTTTTTTACCCTGTTCTGTTTCCGTCTAACCATGTCTGTGGTGTGGGTCCACTTGTACAGAGAATGAGCCTGCAGCTGCTCACCCCGACACCAACACCACACCATCTTCTTCTTTTGCCCCTTTCACTCCCAGGCGTGTTTACTGGAGGCCCCTTTAATGAAAGGTCTAGTCCAAGACAGAGGCAGCCACAGGCCAGCCTCGGGCGTCCCTGCCTCACAGCTCAGAAATCCTCCCAGCTCCAGAATCAGCACAGCGTGCAGCCCGCTTCACATGGATCAGCCTGTGTCCTCCAGCCGTATCCCTTCCCTCTGTCGGCCTCCCGTCCCTAATCCCACCCTGGATCTCTGATGCCTCTCTGTCTGGTGTCTACATTAATGGATGCCCCTCACACACAGAAGCAACAGCTCAGGCACCAATTCACACCCACACACACACACTGTATAGTGACAATTTTCTATTGTGCACAATACAACATGCTACCATGGATTAAGACGTGAAAATCAGAGCTGGCCCATCAGGGTGGGGGTCTGGGGGTGTGCTGGGGGAGGGGGTGTATATTTCAGCACTTCTGTCACTGCCTTATACTGTCTGGCCAAAATAATGAGCAGGATGACATACGCCTGATGTCACAACAACAGCATCACTGTCACAATCAGCCAAAGATGCAAATGTGATATTGGCGGTGGCCACATATACGGCAGGAGGAACAACAATATAACCTTTATAGACAATAGACTGCTGTCGTCTCCTCAGCAGACACTCCTATCAAGACGGAGGACACTTTACACCATTTTACAGTAGATTTGCCCCAAGCAGAGCATTACTGCGTTGGGTAAATACACTTACTGCAAATGCTTTAAATATTTATTCAACAGCAAGTGTTTCAAAGAAATTCATTTTAATGACGTTCTCTGATGAAGATCAACTGTAATAAGCAGGTTTGTTTTTTTACAATTGATTTTTATTATTTTGTCATAAAGTGTGTACTGTAACTCTTTTCACACCGATGCCTCTACATGTACACGTTTAGGTCCGCTGGTGTGGACCGCACCACTTGAAACCTAATTAAAAACAGGACTGCTGCAGAATTGTAACAACAGCTGTGTACGGTTTTAGTGAAGAGCTGCCGAACTGTGAAGCCCTGGAGATCAACTCCTCTGCTCCCCTAATCAATCTGCTTTAGAGTGGACACAGTGACATGCTTCCCGCGCGCTGCGTGTTAGACGCAGGCTCCATGAACCAAATCTCATTTAAGCGGAGTCACAGGCGGTGTTTTCCACTGGAGCGCATCTCCACAGTTGATGGATGGTGAACGGCGCGTGCAGACAAAAGGCTAAATGTTGTACTGCTGGGGAAAAAGAGCATGTGTTTCAGTTACTGTAAATCCGCCTGGGCTGCTGAGTGATTGACTGGTGTGGAATTGATGTGTGATCGCCGGGGAGACAGGGACCCCAGTGATTGGAATGACACCGCGGTAGTTGAGTTGCAGATCATATTCCGGGGCTGTCAGGAACGTGTGCGTGCGTTGTCTGGCTGCTGACATAGACTGAGCGCTCGCAGCAAGGATGGACCGTGAGCCAGGCCCCTGATGGCTGACACATGTCTGATGGTGGGAGATGTCGCCTCAGGATTATTGATACAGGCCACTGTGGGGGATTTTACGTCTCCATGTGTACGTGTGTGTGATGGGAAAACAGTTGATTAGTGATGAATAGTAAAATCTAAAGCTGTTCAAGACTGTTATATGAAATGGACAAGGTGTTTTGTGGCAGACTATAATACAAATAGCGCCCTCTAGCTTAAGTGAGGTTTTCTTCAGAAAGTTTTGATGAAGAGTTTACCATCAAACTCAAGTTAAAAACAACAACTCCAGCCTCCAGAGTTTTTCCAACCTACACAGTCTGCCACAGGAGGCACCGATGAGCATGTGGTTCTTCCGGGGGTCAAATCTATGACCTTCTGCATGTAAGGCAGATGATGATGTTTGGGCCTGCTGTCTTTACACAGCACTGGCCAACAGGACACTCAACCAATGAGCCAAGGCATCATCACTACAGAGCGCCAGCTGCTGTACAACCTGGATAAAAGTGATGGTCACATCAAATATTCTAAAAATTCTGTACACATCACCAGGCTCTTCATTCATGGATCAGCTAGAATTTATGTGGTGTTCATCTCAAATGCATCATCTCTGGTTACTCTTTATCATGGTCATTTTCTTCTGAATGAAGTCTAATCAGGAATAAACTCACTCCTGCGTCTGCTGAGCTCGACTGAACAGAATAGATCTGCTGAATATTTTGGAATATTTTCAACTGTAAGTACAAACACGCAGACGGACATTAGTTGCTAACAACATCTGGGGTCAGAGAAATATTTTTTAATTGAAATTTGCACCAAAGTCTCCTATGTTGAAGTCCCAGTCAAACGTGGTCCACAAGGGACCAACAGTGGACATAAGTCCTTAATCCTCCCTCCGACGCAGCCTCAGCCCCTGATGACAACGTAGTCACCGTGTCATCTGTGACCGTCTGTGTCCCTCCCTCAGCATCTGAAGACACTGTCAAAGACAGTTATTCTTCTGGTTGAGAGGAGGGAGTGGATTTAGACATCCACTGACAGTGGAGGGCAAATTTAATATATTCTCAGACCTGCCAAGAAAAAACAGTCATGGACTGAGATACTGTATATATATTTTGATTGACAATACAAACTAGTACAAAATATGTAGGATTATTAAAAAAAATAATCCACATGCAATTGTACTGCATTTGGACAAAGTATTGTGGAGCATTAATATAATTAACTAATGCATTTGCACAGGAAGAAAATTCTGTCACAATCATCTGCTGCACAAATCTAAGGATCTGTTTCGTTAGATAATAATCCTAATTCAGACAGGAATATGGAACATTTTTAAAGGCTGTAACTAGACTAGGAACGAGCCTGAACTTCTGAACGATTCACTTTCTGCCCCTCATTAGTGTTCGTCTCCTAAACTGTGTTGATGGGCCAACAGTTTAATTAAAAAAAAAAAAACGTAGAATAAATCCTGATTTTGAAATATCAGGCACTTCCCAGTTGTTAAAAATTCATTGTGTAAATTATCCGACAATCCTGAGAAAAACCACATTAATCTCCTGCCCTGAAACACAACACTTTACACCACAAGTCCATGGATTTTTTAAAAACATTATTAATAGAAACAACAACTTACTACCTTATCTCCAAACAAACTCCATTTATAAAGACCCGTTTCAACAACTAAGTGTAATTTATGGGTTTAAAGAATATGTATGGATTACCAACGGCCGACTCTCAGCCGTATAACTAGATCTGGCCGTGTGTATTTAAATGGCCACTAGGAGTAAACCCAATTAAATGTGTTAACAAACAAGTAAAGATCCACTCGCGTTGTGTCAATAAGAGCCGACCGGCACACGGCATATAAATGTGAATCCGTCTGGACTTAGACATAGCCACTCAATAGCATGCATATTGAACTGGACCCAGACCATGAGCAACAGGTCAATAGCTGCTCATTCCCGGCTCAGCCGGTTTCCCCAAAGACAACCTGTTGTCCCCGCTGAGCCCGGCTTTTCTCCACAACCCAATCACACGGCCGTCCTCTGATCCCTTACACTGATCCCCAGCCACAGCTGATCGATAACGCACGGAGCGACTGTGTTCTCCGCCGCCCTCTGGGGGTCACAGGTCACAGTGCCAACCATCTGTTTATCCTGGTAATGCAGAGGCGATGTCATACTCGCCACAGTCTGATGTGACATGTTAATAATTGATCACAGTTAATAAGGATACTCTCTCTCTCTCTCTCTTTTCTTCATCTTCTAATTGTCATTGCACACGTCCTCTGTCGGTGGCAGGTGAGAGCCAGCGCCATCGCTCAGGACGCTGATCAGAATTACGACTACGCTTCCAACAGTGTGATCCTGCATCTGGACGTGGGTGATGAGGTGTGTGTGCAGCTGGACGGAGGCAAGGTCCACGGAGGGAACACAAACAAGTACAGCACCTTTTCCGGCTTCCTCATCTACCCAGACTAAATCTGATCGTTACTGTACACCGGGAGAGCGGTGGATAAGAAGAACACCAGTGTCCACAAAGATTTATTCCCACGTACACCTCAGATTCACAGACATGTACCACAGAATACACACACAAACTACAAACACCCTGAGAGTCCAATTAGCAGAAGTTTGAAGAACGAAAGCGAAAAAGTGGAACTAAAGTAGAAATTTGTCAGTTTTTAACGCAGAGTTCTGTGTTTAAGGGGCAATGGATCTGGTTCAGTGGAAACCAAAAAAACAAAAAAACCTTCACATTTGGTCCAGTAGACACCACGTTGTTTTAGCTGTTGGACAATGTAGTCAAGCTGTTACGCAGCAAATCTGTTTGGACAGACAGTGAGTCTGCGCTTCTGTCGTACAATATAATTACAAATGCTACGCAACATTAAACTGCTAGGACACTGTGTTTACACTTTGAGTTATTTGTTGCAAAATGGTGCCTATCTATTTATTCTCAAAATAATTTATTATTTTTATGTATTTATTTTTTATTCTCAATCCAATAGAGAACCTCTGGAAAATCCTAGGTGACAAAGTTATGGCCAAGAAACCCACTACAATCACCGAACTGTGGAGGAGACTGGAAGAAGAATGGACCAAAATCACACCAGAGCAGTGTGAGAGACTAGTGCTATCCTGTGGCCGCAGATGTGCTGAAGTCATTCACAGCAGAGGCCTGTATACTTCTTATTAATTGCTGACTGTTGTAACCTTCAGATTTTTTTTTCCAAGACAAAGTCATGGTTGTTCTCTAATTTTGATCACTTGTGTTCTCTAATTTTGATCAGTGCATTTTCTGAAAATATTTTTTTTGCGAAATACCTTTAGTCATTTTGTGAAAAAAAGTGTTGTCGTACAATGATATAGACACAATAAAATGTCATTTAACTGTGGAACAGTGAAGATGGTATTATTTCAGAATTATTCCATTTTTTATGAGTTGTTCTCTAATTTTGATCTCCAGTGTATATCGTTAAGATGTTTATGTCTTAAACTGTGTGTTTATTTTCTTTTGTCAATTTTAGAGAGCATCGCTGCAACTTGGTTGATTTAAATGTGCTTTTTTTTAGTGGATCAGACTAGATTAGTGCTGTAACACAGGCAAAGACCAGCACAGATTCTCCTCTAGTCTCGTTCTATCGTAAAAGTTTGGACAGTAGCTGCTACCGGTATAGATGTCACTGGTTACGGATGGAAACAGAGTCATGTGACTGCCTGTACAAATCACATTATGCTGCACTTTTTGAACAAACTGTGAAAACGGGTCTCCCTTAATTTAGCCTGCAGTTCATGTTGCACAGCACTAGTAACGACATTGTGAGGATGATACGAAACAAAATATTGCTTTGTAACAGCGTGGCTACATTCTTGATCTCTCTCCCTGCCGTCAGAATTTACTGACCTTGAACAACATTGCCGCGTTGAAAACTGCCAAATTTCTCCCATTAAATAAAAAACGTGTTGTGCTGATTTCGTCGTTACGAAGCATTTCTGTGCGCAAACATGAGGTTCTAGAATATGTACAGAAAAAGTGCACATAAATAATTGCACGTTGTGGATCCGCAGTATCTAAAATATTATAAAGTATTCCATAATAAATGACATTGTGAAAAAAAACAGAATGTAACAAACACCATCAGTGTGATTGTTTATGATGCAATAAGAGTATCGAGGGTGCAATTAATCATGGTGACAAATGCACATTTTTTTCACCCCCAGTCTTTACCTCAGCAGTTTTTGATGTCTCCCTCCTCCCTCCATTTTAATGACCTCTGATCAAACGGCTCGTCTACGTTTTTTGCAACTCATCTGTAAAATACCCCCCTGCCCCCGCTGGCTGTCAAAGGGAATTACAAACGGTAGAAATCACCGGGGCATTGATTAAAAAAGACTAAATGAAAAAAGACGGATGTTTTCACCCACTGTGGGTTTTTTTTTTCACTTACGTGACAGTGGGTGACGGGGAAGATAAAGACGACAGGTTAGTTCCACAAATCAAAGGCACATTTTATGAATGGTACTCGTTTGTGAAGATGGTTTAATTGCCAAGTACATTATTGACAATGCTGTGTGTGCGTGTGTGTCTGAGTGTACGTGTATGTGCGTGAATGGTGTACACTGTGAAATGCAGGGCCGACTACAACACGAGAGCTGCGCTATTTTACTACACCCTACAAACACTGTAATTACACTGCCATACTTACTAAGTACTTTATTTATAACTAACCCTGTCAACGTGTCATCATATGTTTAAACATAGTAATGTTGGAATGGAGTGTCTGGTATGTGGAACAAACTGAGGTTGACAATATTGCTATTAAAAATATCTATACCTTCCCCATCTGTGTCGCTACCTTGATGTTTTGCACACTGAAGACCAGAACTGAATTGAAGAACAGGTACTGTACCTTTAACACACACATAGAAGCACAATGAGACCTTTGGTAGGTTTTATTTGCAGGGACCAATCAGAGTGGCCGTAGAGAATTAAGACACAATCTGGCAGTGTGGAGTCGCAGCAGAGATCGAAGCTGCAGAAGCTGATCACAGCCACCGCTCTTGCTACAACATGGATTTCCAATATGTCTTAAGACACTGTTGACGACACAGGCATTAATACTGCGACTATCGATCTCAGCATACGCTGTAAGACACACAGCACTGTCAAAATGTATGTCAAACATTGAGGCTGTTTTTTTAAGTAGTTTATAAGAGTATTATGAGAGAATATTATGGTAAAACCATCACTGGAGAAAGCTAGGGTTTTTTTTTGTTGTTTTTTTCACAGTTTCAAACAAGAAGCTTTTTCTTTAATTTTCTGTAATACACTGCATATATATATATATATATATGTGTATATATATATATATATATATACTGTATAAAATAATTATTATTATACAATTATTATATTATGTATATTTATATAAAACATGTATAAAAAATTAAGCAAACGTATTGTAAAATTATTGTATTTGGATTTTGTCATTTCTCATAGTAATAATAATAATTATAATAAACGTATGTGGATAAAGAAATCCTAAAACATTACAAGGAAACAGCAAAACAAACTCCTTTTTTTAGGAAAGTCAATCCACTTCCAAAAAGTCAAAACTGAAAAAAAAGTTTTCTAAACTTAATTAAACCATCCTGGGGCTCTGTACATATGATCTGTCACCTCTTTTTATATAATGCTCAGTTATGAACAGGAGAATCAGACAATGTCTACCACAGACTGTTACACAGCTAAGTCTAAAAAAGCCAAAAAGACAACAATTTGTATCATTATTTCACAAACAGAAATGTAACTAGGAATAATCAAATGATGTACGTGTTAAACTATATTCAAAACAAGAGTCAACAGGCTCAGACGATGACTAACATGATGAGTTGTGGTTAAACCCCTCCCCCCATAATCAATAAGTGACTCATCATGCTAACATTCAGGAGAATTCAAGTCAGTTCTACTTTCTATGCTAAGCAAAGCATGGATGTTTGTGCAATTCTGGAGTTAAAGGATTTGCTGAATCTGTTGCTCCTGAGCTTAGGTGGAACCTAGCTGCTCCACCCCAGGACCCAGACCCTGACTCTCCCTCTCTCTATTTTCTGGCAGATTCCAGTTGAAAGTTAATTGGACAGGGAGAGGTCTGAGACAGGCTGCGCTGAGGCCCATTAGTGATTCCCCTGTCGAAAGCTGTGAGGATCACAGACTCACAAATAGGGAGGATTAAAATAATCAATAGCCTTGACTCTCATCGACCACACACACGGCGTAATTAGTGGACAATCTATTCAGTAGTGGACTATGACACCCTCCTGAACCTCATCCCACACGCATAAGCTGCACACTTCGATAGTTGTGGAGCCTAATGAGGGGAAATAGTTATGGCTGCTTGTCAGAGAAATGAAGAAAAGGTCAGCTACCAAACAACTGTTCAGAGCGCACACAGTCTCTCCGCTCTGTCACCTAATTGTGCCTGAGAAAACAGGGTGTGGTCATAAAAGAGCAAAATGTACACCACCCCCCCCCCCATACTTGACCTGATCATTTTCAAATAAAGTAAAATGTAACAATTCACAAATGTTTTATTTCGGTTATTTTCCGCTTCACAACAGCACACCCAGCAAAATAATGATTTTTGATATATAAATAAATACCCATTTAAGAAAAATGGATAGCAGTTACAACACTGCCCTCTAGCGCCAGTTAAAGAAAAAACAAAACGCATAGACCATTCAAAATCTATTGTGACGAAACAAATCAACTCGAAAGACGGAGGTTGTCAGGGAATATATTTATTTGAATGCAAACAACATAAGTGGGGAGCATTAGCCAGATCTTCTGTGGTCTTTAGTAGGGAATGTAAAAGGCACTTAAATTAAATGTGAAGAAAAAAAACAAATTAATGGAAAATGAATGATATGGCCAACACTGTGTAGACCAACTGCAATAGGAAGGTATATGTGACAAGGTACATATAAAAAAAGAGTGAGGATGATGTTCATCTTCAACCGTTCATCACCATCCTGACCAGCTCTGAGAACGAGAAGAAAAACAAAAAGACAAATGTTAAAGTTTGTCCTGTGGGTTTTCAATGAGACCCACTCCAAATGCAGCATGTGGAGCAAAGGCTTGTCCCGTTACTAAAACCTCCCAGGTACACCTGTGTGGTACATGCTGCATTTGGGGCCAGATCTCTGTGTTCTGTTCACCCATGGTGAAAAGATTGGTCGAAAGCACTAAAGGCGAAAAGAGAAAGAGTTGAGGGAATCGTCTCTATCTCCAACTCAGCCAGAGTATTAGGCCATGATCCAAGTTGCTGGTTAGAAAAGCCATCGCTCTTGTATGCTTTCCTCTAGTTGAGAAGCACAGAAAAGGGAGGGGGTCGGGGGGGGTTCAAGGTAGCTACAGACTAGTCAGAGTAGTTAGCTGTTAAGTCAGCTTCCATCAGCATAAGAGTGACTTATTGCCAGATTCTGGTTAGTAGAGGAAAAAAAGGACTGGTTCACTCTCCCGGAGCTGGTGTTCACATATGAAAATGTCTAATTTACTACCACTAATCTAATGTCTATGAAAAAGAGCAGCACCTCTGAAACCCATAGAACAAAAGCCTTGTTGTACCAGCATCAGTGGACATGCAAATGAGATAAAAGAGCTGCTGTAAAAGTGCATCGCAGGTCAGGTCAAAAGGCTCGACCCGAGTCTCCAGGTCTCCAACCCCTCCCTTTCTCCTGAATGACACCAGTCTCTATCACGTGTGTCCATCGTGTCCCCTTATAAAACAGGGGCCACTCTGACACATGCAGAGGGACCGTGCTGCAGCCAGGGGCCGAGACAGAGGGCTGCAGAAAAGAGAGTGGGACAGAGCAACAGGAGGCTACACACTAGTCAAGACCTCAGCGCTAAAGATAAGAGGGAGCACCAGGGTTTCCCGCAGGCTTCTACAGCACTGATCAGGTCTACTTTGCAGTAGCATAATTGATCCTGTTTGCTCATCCAAAAGGTCAACTCTGCAGCTGATTAGTGTTAGAGTAGCCTGATGGGAATTATGCGACAATAATAAAGCAGGAAAGCCTGGATGGTGCCATTTCATGTATACTCAAATGCCCGTACCAGCCTTCAGCCGGACATGATGTGGCGAACAAATGCTGTGGAGGGAGAACAGTTAACACAGGGTCAGCAGTCGGTATGGATACAGGGTTTCTTAGAGAAGTGAATAACTAAAAAATAAATAACTGAAATACGTGAAAGGAACACAGACTAGACAGCAGATGTCACCATTAACAGACATTCATGTGATCAAAAAATTTAAAATCTACATTCACCTGAGTATAACACTTATGTCAATTATAATATTTCATTGATGCAGTTATCAAAGATTGAACGCAACATATTGGAATGATGTGAGTTGATAATTGTTTTTTACTTATATATACTCATGCTTTTAAATGACGCGTTTTTCTTTTTTTCTTTTAAATTCCTGCCAAGCTTTGGTGCATGGAGGCAGCATTGGTTCCTCTGGCACCAGAAACAGGAAATAGCCTGGATGTCAGACGCGAGTAAAACACAGTAGGGCTTCCTGTTCAGATCAGGCAGTGATAACTGCTAACAAATGGATTCCAGCTTTCCACCTGTCTGTGTGAGCTCGACAACTGACGTTTTGATCGTGGTTTAAATACCAAAACTAAAACTTAAGCTCCTGTCCTACATAATGTAGACAATTTTAGATAGAGGCGTTACATTTTGGTCTTTCACCCCTGTGTGTTTGATGATCATAAAACACATTTTAAGTATTGGCATAAACACCATTCATTTAATTAAAGCAGAATTCAAAACATGCTCCAGTCTGTTTTCGTTTTTTTTTTTTTTGGCTCTTACCTTCATAATTGATGCAGCCGTTCGTGTCTTCATGTCCTGCCAAGAGCGTCTCCACCTCTTCCTCTGTCATTTTCTCACCTGAAGGTTTAATATCAAATATTTGTTTACATTACAGGAGTAGCTTAGATTCATATATTTACAATTTTACTCTAATGAGCAGAAATACAGGAATATCAGGATTACAGAAATATAATTGCAAGGCAATCAGCGTTACATTTCTTTATTCAGAAAAAATATAATATTTGCAGTGGATTATGTGAGTGCAGTAAAGAATAATAATAAACTGTACAAACACTATTCACTTGGTACTAATAGGAACTCACCTAGTGTGGTAAGAACGTGACGCAGCTCTGCCCCCATTACTGTACCATTACCCTCTTTGTCAAAGACACGCAGTCCCTCTACAAAATCCTCCATGGATCCCTGATCTTTATTCTTAGCGACGGCCTGGAACATGGGCAGGAACTGCTCAAAGTCGAGCATTTTCATGTTCATCTCTGCAGAAAGATAAATGGAAATTCTCAGACTGCGCCTCTGGAGACGTTTACAGCCCACTGACAACAGAATTATAAACAAGTCCAAGCAAGATTTTTTTTCCTTGGCTCACCATCAGCCTTGGGGTTGCCCAGGACCTTGAGCACCTCAGCGTTGACAGGGTTCTGTCCCAGGGCCCGCATTACGTCCCCACATTGGCTGAAACTGATCTTGCCAGCTCCTGTCTTGTCAAACAGCAGGAAGGCCTCCTTGTACTCTGTGAGTTAATGACACAAAGCAAATCAGAGCAGCTACTCCAACGATAAGAAGACAGTGTATCAAATATAAATAGGCACATAGGCGCATCAAATACAAATAGAAGCAACAGGAAAGGAAGTTAACTGAAAGTAGGTGAAATCAGAAAAAAAGCCAAAGTGATTGTGAGTGAATTCAGGACAACGAACTGGAAACAAACATTTTTAACAACGCTTTGTAAAATCCCACAAAAGATATTTAATTAATTTAATTAAGTTCAGTTATAAGAAACGTGTGTGAGTTTAGCAAACAATCCTCAAAGTTCAATTCAAAGGTTTGTGTTAATCATCTAGTCTGACTTTTCAATCCCAACATTAACAACAAGGTAAGAAGTGAAAGTTATGAAATCTGAAAATGTGTCAACATTGCAGCTACACAAGTGTTACAAATTGTTACAAATGAAATACTAATACAAACAAAGATCCAGGCAGCACTAAGTGAGCCCTAAGCATCACCTTTTGTATATCAGGGTTCTGAAGCGACTGAAACCCAGACCGTGATCAAATATAATTTTTGTCATGTTTGGATGCACTCACACAATGCTGCCTCCTCCTAACAGGAAATAACAAAAAAATTCTTGGCATAGAGTCATTTACATTTTTGCTGGATTACTGTGACACATGTCATGAAGCAAAACAAATCTCAACCCTGTAACATGAACAGAACCAAATTAGTCAAGGTTTACCAAATAAAAAAATATAGCTTAAAGTACATTTTAAAAATGTTTACATGGGCAGTTTGTATTCAACTAAACATCACATCTATATTAGTACTAAAAAGGTATTGTGTTATTATCTGCACAAGTTTGTCAAAATTATTCTTCAGGTACTGTATTCAAAAACATTTAATTCTTGAAGAGAAAAAAACGATAATCTGACACTTCACTATTACTTCACTTGTGTCAGTCAGATTGCAACATTTTACAAAACAATAGCGAAGTCTGAAGGTTTGTGGGTGGAGAGAAGTAAAATGATTATATTAACAAGTCAGGGTACTCCAGTTGTCAAAGCAGAGTAACAAAAGCTTTATCTAATTTTAACACTGACGCAATCTTGTTGTTGACAAAAAGGTGGCTTTAGGTTGCACTCTAGTCAACAGCTAAAGAGACAAACAAATCTAAAATTTAGGGAAACACTGGCTTTTATATAACATCTGGTTGAGAAGGTGTTCCTGATTTTACGGGACAAGCTACTCCCTGAAAAAGCACCAGCAGTGTTGTGGAGTTTTTCCTGTTCTGAGGAATGTGCCTCTTCCCTTCTGGCTTGCTAGCACTTTTCCCAACACCATATTTGGTATTAGAGGAGTGGAGGAAAGTAGGAGGAGAGAAAAACTTTAGCCTATTATGTCAACAGTTATTAAACAACCCAGCCCTAGGACAAGAACTATCCAACACTGTATCCAGCACCAAAAAAGGAGACGCGTGTGGGGATGTGCTGCTTGAAAATACAACAGGCCCACAATCAGGTACAAAATGAAACAAAGAGATATGCAAAAAAAAACAAGACATATGTGGTCTGAAAGATGTCCGGTTCATTACTGACACAAGACACTTCATAAAATCTTAAGACTTTTAGACTCCACTCAACATAAACACTGCTGCACAGTCAAACCCCATAAGGAACACAGCCTTATGTGCAAAATATGACTGACTTTGACATACCAAACGATGCAATGAGGCAAGTTAAAACGATTAGCATTGTCCAAAACCAACATGCAGATCACACCCTGTACACTCCCGTGAAAGGCAGCCACAGGCTTATTTTTGTTAAGACAGTCCCTTTCACGCAAACTTACCATGGATCTGATCCAGGCTAAACTCAATCTGTAAAGGACAAGCAGTGGCAAAGTGGATAGTAATGAAATAGTAAGAAAATAGAGAAGGAAACGCTATCCTGAACACGGCTACAGTGACAGGCATGTACAGAGCAGGGTGATAGTGAAGCTACAGGGGCAAAGTGTCATCTGAAACAAGCGATAATGAAGGACATGCAATACAAGAAATGAGCGGAAGATTAAAATTTTAAAAGAAATTTAAACTCACCAAGGATTTGATCTTCCGAAAAATCAGACTGTTCGGAAAGAAATTATGGGACGTGAAAGTCTTTTCTGTAGTTAGCTATATCGAACACCAACACCAGAACACCGAATTTTTTTCAAGTTTCATATTTAAAACATAACATATCACTTGAACACAACGTATAATCGCTTTTTCACACATCCGAACGCTTTGAGGCGTATTTTTCACCGTATATATATTTTCTACTTTACCCTTTACCCTCCTACATGCTAACGTTAGCATATCATAAGTTGTAGTTCCGCTAGCAAACAGCTAGTCCTTACAAAAAATAGGTTTTCAATGCTAAGCGTATGTTTAATAATGATACCAGTATACAATAAAAAGCATATAAATCATTTGAGTTGTGTGTAACTACAAAAAAACCCTACCATGTTTGTGTAAAGGCTGAGGTGTGTCCTGAGCGTCGGCAAGAGGAAGAAGGCGACAGACTTCAAAGCAGAACAGGGGGAGAAAACCCTTTCAGTCCTGCGTCATGACGTAAGACGCACGATGCGGCGGCAACTAGATCGTACGGTTCCGCCTATCTTCTGCCTTTTGATTGGTTAGATTTATACATAACGGTCGACTATTGGTCCAAATATGAAAGGGAACGAGGACTGATTCGCCCTTCTCAGGTTGAGGAAACAAAGTCTTACAGCTCCATATATAGAAACTAACAACTTGGTATGCTTCCCAGTCAACTGTAACAGCAGTTGTATATCCTGAAGCTCATTAAATCTTTGCGTTTATGGTATTAAAAGCGAAAGTAAAACATAAGGACAGAACATATTAATGAGAATGAATGCTATTTCAACATTACTGAAGACAGAATACCTAAAGTTTTCAACCTGGTCACTTCAAAGTGGGCATAATTTTAACGTTTGCTTACTGTTGGAGGAGTACAGCTCAACAGAACATGACATCACCACAGATTATATGCATAATGATGGAGAGCAGAACGGTGGAGAATGCTGCAGTAAAACATAGAAAGCACAATGATGACAATAATGTTAAAGCACAAAGAAAGATATATCATTGCTTCAAAGTCTAATGTGGGAATTCAAAGTGTACGGTCTTTGACCTGTGATATATATATAGTATGTCATTAGGTCAGGAAAACCTGGTAGTCTTTATATGTCCATCTTTCAAACAGGGGGAATTAAAAAACATGGAAGTGACTGGTGCATACTTTAAGAGAGGAATTAAGATTTAGGCTTGTATGATTTAGTTAGCTCTGTTTGATCACCCTGACAGGACATAATAAGTCAAGAGTCTCATAAAACCTATATATGGTCCTTACATGGTGAGACATCCAACAGGCGCCTTTAGTCACTCACTTTCTCCACAGCCAGTGTTTTAAAGGTTTGAACAAACCGTGACACTTTATCTTCATGCCACAGGGATCAGTTTTTAGTTCACGAAGGGAATTCTGTTGTTCTGATGCAGTATCCTAGCAGATAAAAAAAAAAGTAGCACGGAGTGTGACTGTAGACTGTCTCTTCTCCCTAAGGAGGACACTGACTGATTGACAGCCTAACTGGGTCTGTCCTATTTCTAAAGACTCATTCTTCCTACACTGGTGCAACCATTTGCATCCTGATATCAGTTAAAACATGGTTTTATCCTTGTTTCCCATGAATCATTTTTATTGTGTTTTATTTGCTTAGATTTATTGCTCTTTCTAACCTTGTTTCACACTGTATTAAAAATACAATTCTACCCGACTGCCTCTTTAATGTCCCACATTAGCTCTGTCACAAAGTTACACTTAAGGTCTATCACTCACCTCTAAAGTACTGGGGTCAAATGGGGCATCGGATGGACGCAGCATCCTGGGTTTCTGCTCTGGAGCAGATTTTGGTGCAGCAGGAGCTGGAGGCAGACAGGGGTAAGGAGGACCAAGTCTGGGTTGGGCCACCGGTGAAGGAGACTTTTTGATGGAGGAGTCTCTTTTAGGAGCCATTCCTAGTAATTTATAGAAAGCCTGCATGTATGGTCTAGAATCTGCGCACCCACTGTAGGTATGTATGTCTACCTAGAGGAATTTGCCAGTTATGGAGTAAAGTGTGTCAGTACCCTGTGGAGAAATGGGGTTGGGCGAGAGATAGGCTGTTTGATGATGCTGATGATGCTCAGGGAGCCGCAGTTGGACTAGGGACACACACATGCATGGAACAGCATTTGAGGACATTCATAAAGGAAAAAGCACATTGCTTTTCAAATTTTGGTCAGAAATGCAGTGTGATGATAGACTAACTCACAGCATTCTGTTGTATTAGTAGGGAAATATGAGAACTACAGTAGTTTGATTGTCCTATAAACATCAAAGTTGGATTTTTCTAGTGTCTTAAACACCATCCAGCTGACACAAATACAAATGGACTTGCTGACTTCTGGTACAACTGTGTCACATCCAGAAGTTTGAAGATGACACGATCATCATGGGGTGTAGGATGAACTTTTTCGTCTGGTGTAAATCAAACAACCTGCTGCTCAAAACCTCAAGACCAAGGAGCTGGTCACAGACTTTGGGAACTACACACCCAAACCGAGACCAGTTCTCATCAAGAGTCAGGAAGTGGAGGCCGTAGAGGCTTAGTCATATCTTGGGTAGGGGCTGGACAACAAGCCGGACTGGGTACACAACAGCAGGCCGCTGTATAAGAAGGTCCAGAGTAGACTGGACTTCAGGTCTTTCAACATCTGCAGGAAGCTTCTGAAAATGTTTTACCAGTCTGTGGTTGGCAGCGTCACATTAAAAGTAATGAGGGCAGTAAATGCACTGAGGAAGTCTATTTTTCTCACGTCCTGGTAAACCATTGGCACTATGTAATAGAGCCATCTTGTGGAGAGAAACTGAATAACATTTGATTGTTCAGCAAGTTTTGTACATACAGTATACTGAATGACAGTCTTCTGTCTCTTACAGTGTGCAGTGATGACTAGAGACTGAAGTAGTAAGAAAATACTGTAGTATTTAGTACTACTTTTTTTACTAGTATTTAGTAGTATAGTACTACAGATTATCAAATAGTAATCTAGTAATCTGTTGTACCCCCCACTTTATTTTTTTTTTAATTCACACAATTGGAAAAAACAGAGTCAGTGTCCAATATCAGCTATAGGAAGCACTGTTTTACTACTATGACGAATTTGAATAAAAACAACGTTCAGAGCTGCCCACAGAAAAAAAGAGAAAAGTGCTCACGGAAAGAAGACAATAATACTACAGAAAATCTGTAGTTCTAAAAGACACCACGAGAGGTCACTGCTGCATAATCGTGCCTCAATGAACGGTCACTGTAACTTGTTTAAATAACTTGAACGCATCTAGAAGTTTGTATCGTATCTACCTGTCCATCCACCCTTCTTGTATTTGATCGTCGATCAGTCCAACCATTGACCCTTATACTCATATACATATATCTATGTCAGTCAGCTGCTCCAATAATCGATGCCCTCCCCTCGTCAGCACAGTTTGGGTAACAATCCATCGGCTGCTAAATGGGCCTTGAAATCACCGCTTATGTGGCGCAAGCGTCGAAACAATAGAAAACACAAGACCCTCGCTGCGGGACCAACGGCACTTCTGACGCTTCACAGCTTGGGCGGTCAACCTATAGGGATAAACAACAATGTAAAGAAATAAAACTCAAAGATAACTCCATATATTTTGCTTTAATTATAAGAAGACAAAAGCATAGACATAGAATAGAATAGAATAGAATAGAATAGAATAGAATAGAATAGAATAGAATAGAATAGAGTGGTGGCTTTCAACTAAACCCCAGATGATAAAATAAAAACAGGTTTGGTTCTTCTGCTGGTGGCTGTTGATACTCAGCCTCAGTTCTTGTCTGCTGAGCAGACAGTTCAATGTCACACTCTTTAAGAGGATTAGCTGTACCTCACGTTTTCCTCGTCACTTGCAACAATACACTCATCCAAAAAGCTAAAAAGAATCAGGGGTATCAGGAGGGTGCGAATCATGATGCACTTTCTAGAAAAGTTGAATCTTCCTGAGTTTTTCCAGATATGTATATAGTGTATTTCTTAGAGGATCTAAAACTTAAAATTCGACTTAGACCACCAGTTACATTTTGTCAATCTGAAATGAATGAACTCAATTATAAAACATCTAATTTGAAAAATTACCACCACCCCTCTCTCCCCGAGTCTTTCATTTTCTGCCCAGTGTTGTGAGAGTAAATTCAATTACTCCAAGTTAAAGGAAATGTTTCAACAGATCCTCCGCCGTGCCCCCAATTGGCTAATGAAATTATGGCAGTTCTTCCACTGAATGTTATTCAGAGTCCCCACCACCACCACCACCACAGCAAATCTCTAAACCACCTGATTTATTTTTAATGATATTACACCCCTCCGTCGGCTGTGTCATGGTAATAATCGGGGTGCTCCAGCTGCCTCTAGATCACATTAGCCAGGCTTAATATTGACAGTGCCAGGCCCACTGAACAATGAGGCTGCGGGGATAGAGAGCTTAGAAAGCTGCCTGGCCAATGGGCATTCTGCAGGAGGTAGGGGAAACACAGGCCAGGATGCTCTGGTTCCCTATGCCCTGGAGGACTGGTATAGCATCATTAAGATTTTTTGTCTGTGCTCCTGTGGAGCTTTAAAACCCACCAAAACCAAACCCAAACCCCACCCAGACCCCAGACATCAAAACCATAGTGACAAGGAACTATAGAACTAGTGGCAACAAGACGGCTCTCTATTCTTTCACCAGACGGTGGGATCTGTCAGGATAACACCTCAGCAGCTGCACCTGAGGCCCAGGCTGCGGCAACTGTGTGAAAAAAAGAAGAAAAAAGATTGGTTTTATTTAAAAATGTTAAGATTTTAGAACCTTCAGATGTTTGAATGTTCTCCACAACTAAAACTCTCATGTACTTTGATTTTCAGAATAAATACCTTTTTTCAGTCTGATCTGATTATGGAAGTACCCTGACACGTTAGACTAATTTACGTTGTAGGCTTGTCTCACTGATGCGTTTGCATAATGGTCACACTGGGAATCAGACGGGGGACACTTGTGGGACACTTGCACCTGATCACAGAGACACTGTGGCTCGTTGCCAATCACACCTCCACAGACGACCCTACCAATTAAAAATCACCTGCATTTGTCTTTGACTTTTTACTTATCGGGCCGTTCGGCGTCGGCGTGATGTGCCAGCGCACCGTAGTTTCATCCTCCGTCCCAAATTGTTGTTTGGACGGTAGGGGATTTTGTACGGGGCCCGCAGATTACCGTTGTTGATTAGTGGTTGAGTGTAATCCTTTCAGCCCCTCTCTCTCTCCAAAATACCCCTGGGATATGCCCGTCTCCCTGAGGAGCGGCAGTATGGCAGATGGATCCTCCTCCCCCTCATCTGCCCTCGCCCCAACACACCCCCTCCCCTTCTCCTCTAACAGCTCACCCAAAAACACTGTTGATGTCCTGGGACGGAGGTTGTAAAGTATCCTGAATATGAAACCACAGGCACCTTTGTTTAATGGCT